CTGTTAGTATTCGAGGGATAAACACTGATCCACTGCTCAGGGCCCCATAGGTTGCCCTGGCATCCTCACTGACTCTCACATTCAGGGGGGTCTGGATCAATCCCATGCTGGCCTCCCCGCTGTTGGTCTGGGGTCCAAGAGCTCTCCCCTGTTCAGATCAGCTGTCTCTGCTGGTTTTGCCAGCCCATTCTTTGCCAATTTGCTCATCACTCCTCTCTCTCTGTCACTGGGTTCCTTGGGTTCAGTTCAGTGCTTAATTGTGTGTTTGCCTCTGCTTCCATCAGTCACTGGATGAAGGCTCCCGGATGGTTATAGACATCAAGTTCATTATCAGGAATGGACATTCGAGATGGTCTGTACACTATTGCTTAGCTTGCCAATTGGTGTTATCCCTTTAGATCACTAGAGGTCACTCTGGTGTCTGATCTGTCTTCTGACCTATGATTCCCTCTTCCCTCTATTCTACCCCCACCCACTCAAACTTCCTGTTCCCCCATGACCTACTCTCTCCTCCTCTTCTCCCCCTCTCTTCTTCACAGCTCCCACTTTTTCTTATTCCTGTAGCTAGAACTTTAATATTGAATAGATATGGAAAGAGTGGACAGCCTTGCCTTGTTCCTGATTGTAATGAGATTGCTTTTTGAGTTTATCTTCATTTGATTTGGTGCTTGTTGACTGTTGGCTTGCTGTATATTTTTTATTGCATTTAGTTAGCCCCTTTTATCCATGATCTCTCCAAGAATTTTATCATGAAGGGGTGTTGGATTTTGTCAAAGGCCTTTTCAACATCTAATGAGAGGATCATACGGTTTTTCTTTTCCTTTCAGTTTGTTTTATATGGTAGATTACATTGGCAGATTTTTTTCATATGTTGAAGCATCCCTGCATCTCTGGGATGAAGCCTACTTGATCACGGTACATGCTTTTTTTTTTTGATGGGTTCTTAGATTTGGTTTTGGGAGTATTTTATTGGGTATTTTTGCTTCAATGTTCCTGAGAGAAAATTCTCTGTAATTCTCTTTCTTTGTTGGATCTTTGTGTATTTTGGTATCAGGGTGACTGTGGCCTCATAAAATGATTTTTTCAATGTTCCTTCTGTTTCTATTTTGCATAATAATTTGAGGAATATTGTGTCCCAAAGTTTAGATATGTTGTGCATTCATTTTCACTGAATTCTAGGGAGTCTTCCGTTTCGTTCTTTATTTCTGCCTTAACTCAGTATTCATTCAGTAGAGAACTGTTCAGTTTCCATGAGTTTATAGGCTTTCTTTTGTTTCTGTTATTGTTGAAATCCAGCTTTAAACCATGGTAGTCTGATAGGATGTGGGGGGGGTATTTCAATTCCTGTTCTTGCATCTGTTGAGACTTGCTTTGTGTCTGAGAGTTCTGTGAGATTCTGAGAAGAAGGTATATTCTTTTGTGTTTGGGTGAGATGTTCCGTAGATGTCTGTTAGGCCCATTTGTTTTGTAACATCTGTTAGCTTCAGTATGCCTCTGCTTATTTTTGTCTGTATGATCTGTCTGTTGGTGAGAGTGGAGTATTAAAGTGTGTGAGGGTAAATGTGTGATTTAAGCTTTAGTAATATTTCTTTTTAAAATGCAGGTGCCCTTGCATTTGGGGCATAGATGTTAAGGATAAAATATCACCTTCATGGATTTTTCCTTTAATGACTTAGTTAATTCTTAAATATTTCATATTCTTTGATGCTATTGCCAATGGGAAGGTGATCATGACCTCTCACATGCCTTGTAGTAGTGTGTGCAAAGGCTATTGACTTTTTAAAGTGAACTTTGCTGAACTCATTGATAATTTCTAATTTTCTTGTGGAAATGTTAGAATCTCTTACACATAATCTCCTATCATCTGCAAAGAAGAATAATTTGATTCCTTCTTTTCCTGTTTTTGCCCTTTAATTCCCTTCTCTTGCCTTATCAGTCTATATGGTACTTTGAGTACAATGTTGAAAAGGAAGAAGATAAAGGACAGTTCAGTCTCATTACTGATTTTAATGAAATAGCTTCAAGTTTTTCTCCATTTAAGATGATGTTGATTGTTGGTTTCCTACATACAAACCTTATTATTTTAAGATAGGCTCCATTAAGTACAGTTTTGTAACTATATATTGAAATGTGCCTACTAGCTCTATAAGTTAAGTTATTCCATTAACAGACATTTGCTATTGTGTTCCATTTATATTAATCTATGCTTTGCCTCATGTCTTTTTACCTTTCTTTCATTCTGTGTGTCTGACTCCTTCCATGTCTCATTGGCATCTCCTCCTTCCTTTCTCTCTCTGCCTGGAAGTCCTGCCTATACCTCCTGTGCAGCTATTGTCCATTCAGCTCCTTATTAAACCAATCACAGCAACATATATCTAGTGTACAGATATCCCACAGCAGAGATTCCTGGAGCTTGAACTGCTGTGCTCCTTGTAGAATGTATGGAACATGAATTCTTTATTTTTTTTCAGCTTCTGTTAGTCACCATTCTCTAGGCACCACAGTAACTTTAGTTTCATTCTGGTTCTTTCTGCCAAGGATAAAGTTGAGAAATCTATGAATGGCCATGGCCAATCATGGCTTCTTGCTAGAGAGAAGTCACACTATTAGAATCCATCTTGGGCCCCAGCAGCCAGTGCTATTGTGAAGTGATTGGGTCACAAGAGTACTAACCCTATAGATTTGTTGATGCCTTGAGTCCATAATTGAATGGACTATTAGAAAGTGTAGATGTGGGGCCTTGGGTAGTATTTATCCCTGGCATACAAATAGACTTTGAGTGCCCATGCCACAATATGGGAGGCTCTCTGGGCAGGAACTCTTGGGGGAGGGCCTAGGCCCTGCCCTGGATGAAATGACAGTTACTGGAGATCCACCATGGAGGGCCTCACCCTCCCTGGGGATCGGAGTAGAGATTGGGTGGGGGACTGGGGGACCTGGTGGGGAGGGCAGAAGAGGAGGGGAGGGAGAGGGAGCTGGGATTGACTTGTGAAACAAGATTGTTTCTAACCTAAATAAAAAATAATTAAAAAAAGAAAGTGTAGATGTATTGAGTCACTGGGTGTTTTCTTTGGAAAGTATACACTTATCACAGGTCAGAGTAAATATTTTTAGTTTCTTCCCCCCTCAGGTATTTTATGACAGAGACAGAGGTGACTAACACATACACCTTGGAAGAAATTGTGGGTGCTGTGGGGAAGGGTGACCTTGGCCCATGCTGCAGGGCTCTTCTGAGAGTTGTGACCTCAGAAACATGTAGGGACTGTGAGGCGCACTGCATTGCTAAGCACTTACCTCCCAATTTATTGTTCCCTTATGTTTGTGAACTTCAGACTTATACACAAGGCAGCTCTGAGAAAGAAAGCCTCACTAAAAGTTGATGTCTTTGGGTAGACAATAGCTCAGTATCTTTAGACAGGTTTTTGTTGTTGTTGAGTAAAGGTCTCACTGTGTTGCCCTAGCTGGCCTAGAACACCCTCTGAAGATCAAGCTGACTTCAAACTTACTGAGATTTGCCTGTCTCTACCTCCCAGTTACTAGGAGTAAAGGCATGCATGAGAACACCCAGGAAGATTGGTCTTCATAGAAAATGGAGCTTGAATTTGAATTTTTTTGTTTTGTTTTTGTGAAAGGCGTGGCCATTCATGATATGTTTCTTGGAACTAACAATCCAGTCTTCATAAACATTTTTGCCTACGAGTAGATCTCTGAACACAGTTTTATTCATATTCCATGCATAGTATGAACCCAATCTTCGCAAGATTTTTACAGTCACAAAAGGGTTTGATTTAAAGCTCCAGTTCCTCTTGACCCATACACATTGGTGAGAGTCTTAGGATGACCTTCAATTCTTGTGGGGACTGAGGATCAGTTTCCATATGAAATTATAACATCCTGGCAGCATAAAACACACTGTCCCTTAGCAGCAATTACAGCAAATCATTGGATTCTACTTTCACAAAAGTCAAGCATCTGGTAACCATCACAGAGTCTGACTCCTGGATCTAAACATCCTTCATGGGGCATCACGCTGCAGGACCCTGAGAACCTTAAGGACAGCATAAGAGGTCAGCTACAGAAAGCACTAAGCTGTGTCCAAAGGGAAATGTTGTTGCTGGATATTCCATCACACTGTGAACTCTGAGTTTACATTAATTAAATAAAACTTTGGGTCAAGAGGTGGAGCTGCCAACTAGTTGATAAAAAGTATTCACAAGGAGTCATAGGATGTCTGTAAGATGCTAGAGAGCTGCACAGGAAGTAGTAGGGAGGGACTCTGAGTGTGGCCATCTCTTTTGGTTTGGATGGTGAAAGAGAGTCCTTACTCCTGGGCTGGTGGCTAAGAAGGAAGGTCAGCTCATTGCTCTTCGGCCTCTCTGAATTAGGTAAAACCCTGGTGTTTAGACCTCTCTGGGATAGTGTTGCTAACAGTCATCTTAATTGCAGGGATTAATAAAAATAAATGAAAATAAATTTATTCAGTGCTTGTACTAATTCCATTTTGTTCTTTTGATAAGTCACCACGACCAAAGGCAGCTTATGAGTTTATTTTGGCTTGCACTTTCAAAGAGTTCTCAATTGTGGGGGAGGCATGGAAGCAGTTGACTGGAACGAGAAACTAGGAGCTCACATCTTCAGCCACACAGAGAGAGCAAAGAAAGACCTAGAAATGGGGTCTGTCCCCAGTGAGGCACTTCCTCAAGCAGGACTTCTGCCTCCTAAAGGTTCTTTAAGGTTTCCAAACACCAATGGTGACTATGTGTTCAAATAACTGTGCCTCAGTGGGACATGTCTCATTCAAACGTCACAGGGGATTTTATGTAACCATTTCCCATCCCAAAGACGATTCCAATATTTGTACACACTAACAAATACTGCAAATACGTGGGGGCAGTGTACCGAACTCAGATCGTGCCAGGCGATCCCGCCGGCGTCCAGTAGGGGACGCTGCCGGCGGCGGAGGCAGAGACCCGACCGGAAGTCAGGCTGGCGGCTACAGACGCCTTCCGTCCCCCGTTTCCGGTGGTGGTGCAGGACGGTGCTCGGCCCCCGCAGTTCGCTCCCCTGCCGTCACCATGCCGCTGGAAAACCTAGAGGAAGAGGGTCTGCCCAAGAACCCCGACCTGCGCATCGCGCAGCTGCGCTTCCTGCTCAGCCTGCCCGAGCACCGCGGGAACGCGGCGGTGCGCGAGGAGCTGATGGCGGCCGTCCGGGAAAACAGTAAGTCGGGAGCGCCGAGTCAGAGGCCTAGGCCGGGGCGGGCCGGGAGGCCAGGCTGGGCGGCTCCCGTTGGGGCTTTTCGGGGAAGCCCTCCTAGTGCTTAGCGGGTCGTGCCTCCGTGGTTCGTTTCTGCGGCGGGCTGCTCGGGGAAAGCCTCAGGTGCTTGTCGCGCTCTGGCTCCCAGCGAAGGCTCCGCGCCTTTTGCCTTGACTGTCTGCCAGCTTTGCGCTCCCTGTCAAGGCGCAATTGGGGTCTGTCCCTAGCAGTACATATCGAGTATGTGTCCTGTCCCTGACACAAGGGCTTCTCTGGACCAGGAGCCGGACAGAGCAAATAGGATTGCCCTCAAGCGGGCCTCCTACCTGCAAAGCCTTAGCTGTGCCGTCCCAGGCCCGCGGTTGGCAGGCGCCTGCTGCCTGACCTTTGGTGGGGCGGGAAGAAGCGAGTAAACACTGACAGGTGGCCTCACGGTGCGCAATTTATGGCTTTTAGATATGGCTCCTTATTACGAAGCCTTGTGTAAATCCCTCGACTGGCAGATGGACATGGATCTCCTCAGTAAAATGAAGAAAGCAAATGAAGAAGAGTTGAAGCGCCTGGATGAAGAGCTGGAGGACGCAGAGAAGAATCTGGGAGAGAGTGAAATTCGAGATGCAATGATGGCGAAAGCGGAGTACCTCTGTCTGATAGGTGACAAGGTCAGTGGAGGTGCAGATGGGTGATGTCTCACTGAATAAATGAACCAATTTTTGTTTTTGTTTGTTTGTTCTTTCAGGACAAGGTTTCTTTGTAGCCTTGACTGTCCTGGAACTCACTCTGTAGACCAGGCTGGCTTTGAACTCACAGAGATTTGCCTGCCTCTGCCTCCTGAGTGCTTAAAGGCGTGCGCCACCATTGCTTGGCAAACCTTTTTTGTAAAGGATAATCATGTTTATCTGTACTGAGGAGTCAGTACAAAGATAGTAAATACATAATGTTTTAGTACTGGTTCCCTGTTCTTAACAGTATTCAGGTGTATATTACACCTTTGTGTGTCATAGGGCTAGACTCATTGATTTAAGAGTGCCTACTATGTTATAGACGACATGAGTTCAGTTCCTAGCACCCACATCAAGAGGTTGGAAACTCCAGCTCTAAGGGATCTGATGCCTTCAGCCCCCAAGGGCACCTGCACTCATGTGCATGTATCCCCAGACAGACACAAACACATATACATACTTGAAAGTAATAAAAATACATCTCCAAAACAATTGCACAACCAGAGGTTTAGCTCACTCCTTTTATAGTATTGGGGATGTTAACCGTACTTCACTTTTTTGGTTGTATATTAATGTACATTTTAAAAGGTGTAAATAAGGGGCTGGAGAGATGGCTCAGGGGTTGAGAGCATTGGTTGCTCTCACAGATGACCCAGGTTTGATTTCCAGCATTCACAGGAAAGCTTACAGCCTTCTTTAACTCCAGATCCTTTTATACATTGATGAAGCATGACTGATAACTGAAACAGACTAGCTAGTCATGCTCTGACAAACACCCAGTGTAGACATCTGATTTTATGAGTGTTTTTATAAACATCAGTTCTTTGAGATGAAGTTGCATATGCATGGATTCAGTGGTATTTAATATAACCAGTGATGCCAGTCTCCTCTTTCAATGATTAATAAATTTTGAAGTAGTATGATTGTTAAAGGCAGAAACACTGAGGACAGGGAAACAGCACCACCACTGTGTATTATGGGTACTTTTCATGTGACCTTCCCAGAATGAAGTATGCCCTGGGCATTGTCCACACTGGGCACCCTTGGTCCTCATTCCCAGGTGCAGCAGTGTGCCTCTCCACTTTCTGTTTTGCCAGCCACTCTTCAGGAATACCCAGGGAGCTGATGGCATTGCTAAATTGTGTGCTTTTCTCCCCCTTGGTCTTGAATTTGACAGGAGGGAGCTCTGACAGCGTTTCGAAAGACATACGATAAGACTGTGGCCCTGGGTCACCGACTAGATATTGTATTTTATCTCCTAAGGATCGGCCTCTTTTATATGGATAATGACCTCATCACTCGAAACACAGAAAAGGCCAAGAGGTATTTTTAACAGTGGGTATGATCCTGGAGGTTATGGGCTGTTAATAAGTTGGTAGGCCTAAGCTTACCCATTTTTTGTTTACAGTTGTGGAGTTTGGTCAAAATAGTTGACATACGTACTGAAATACTTCAGTTAGAAGTTTTTTCTTTTTAGAATTAACATCTGTTTCTTTTGTGTTATTTACTAGCCTGATAGAAGAAGGTGGAGACTGGGATAGGAGAAATAGGCTGAAAGTGTACCAAGGTCTATACTGTGTGGCTATCCGTGACTTCAAACAGGCAGCGGAGCTCTTTCTCGACACGGTGTCTACATTTACATCCTATGAGCTCATGGACTATAAGACATTTGTGACTTACACCGTTTATGTCAGTATGATTGCCTTAGAAAGACCAGATCTCAGGGAAAAGGTAAACGATGAAATCAGAACACCCTTTAAAGATTTGTTTTATCCTTTTGTAACTTAAAAACACAGACGTCACTGAAATGTATTTATTGGCCTTTGTTTTTGCTTTTTTTGAATACCCAGGTCATTAAAGGAGCAGAAATTCTTGAAGTGTTGCACAGTCTTCCAGCAGTCCGGCAGTATCTGTTTTCTCTCTACGAATGCCGTTACTCAGTTTTCTTTCAATCATTAGGTAAGGATCGATCATCTGTCTTCATCTTCTGACCCTGTGGTGAATAAGCAAAGCTGGAGTTTTCACATGTCAGAGATGGAGTGGGCTTTGACAACTGCATGTCTTCACTCTTTTCTGCCTATTTTGCTTAAAGGAATGTCAACAAACTGTGTTTATATGTTTCCAAATGTAAGAGTGATTGCGTGTTGTATGCACATGTGTGTCAAGGAGCATGTGTGAAAGTCAATAGGACAACTTTTAGGGCTTGTTTCACTTCCATCATGTGAGTCTTGGGCATTGAACTCGGGTCATTGGGCTTGGCGGTAGATGTCCTTCCCTGATGTACTATCTCACTGGTCTGAATTTTGTTTTTAAAGTGGTTTTTAAAACAACAGAAAAAGAATGTATGACAAAGAGCTATGTGATTAGTAAAGCCTAAAGCTATTTGTCTGATCTTGTGACATGGGAGTTTGTCTTATGGAGTAGAGTGAATTTGAGCAGACAGCTTAGTATAGTAGATGTGTGATAAAGGATGTAGGGAATTCTGAGTCCCTTGAGACTGAAGTTAATCATCACTCTATTTAAGAATTTTTTCTTTAAATACTGTAATTGCTAGGCCTGTGGATAAAAAACAATCTGTGGACAATCCTTGTGTATTTTCACAGCTAATTTACAGAGCTCCGTGGACACCAGGGGTACTGTACTCTCTCCTGGCTATTTAGTTTGCTACTGGTGACTAAATTACTAAGATGAGAAAGACGTCCTCCTCAAATGATTCCCTTAAAACTTACTAGTGACCAATACCGCTGCTGTTTGTAGGGAAGCGTGCTCTTTCTAGTGAGATTGATGACTTTGGATGGTAGGGCGAACTTCAGCCTTTCCCACTCTGTTCTTTTTAACTTGTATTCAAATAGTTCTGAATGAAAGGTCTTAGATTTAATAAATCTGTATACTTCCCAGGTGTTCTAAATGCAGAAGACCATCAAGTTCTTATCTTTTATTTGCACCTACAAACCATATAAAGCTTGAGTTTTGTGAGATTGACTCTTGAATATTCATAGACAAATACGCTTAAGACACTTGAGCTGAAATGGGACGTAGAGTTCTCTGCCAGGGAGTGCGCCATTGAAATCACACAGTGAGTGACTCTCATGAACCAAGTACATAGTGTTCCACCAGGTGGAGTCCTTAGAGTTTCTAGTTGGTGAATGGCTCCCTGAGTGTACCATGAGTTTATTGTATACTGATAGAAAGTTTCCAAAGTTTCAGCTTAGTCCTATACAATAGTCTTGAACATGCAGGTAGCATTGCTGTCCCATTTATTCCTTAGGTGGAATCTAAGAAATCAAATAAGTATTAGTATACCTTGACCATGCCTCCCCTAGAAAATTTGTGCCAGTTTATGTGTGTATTATTTATACTTATTTCATTTTATAGTATTTGAAAGAATCCATCTCACATTTTAATAAAACCTTAGGCAATTTGACAGGAAAAAGGCATTTTTGTTGGTTATATGTACTTTATTGTTGGTGAGCGTGTACACACCATCTTAGTGGCCTGCTCTGTTTCATTCTGTCTCTCTGGACACAGAATATCCTTCATTTTTCAGTTTTGTTCACTTGGTTCCACAGGAACATGCTTTTGGTTGTCCCTGCCTTGTCCCCGTCATCTTTTAGGAAATACGTCTGCATGGCTGTGCTCTCCAGATTACTGGTTCTAGTCCTGAGTCTTCAAATACTAGACCCATGCCTTGCCCCTCCTTGATATCTTTGCTTGTCTGATGGGCACATCCGCTTGAACAGTGCCACAGTATGTTTGAACCTCATTCTTAGCCCTCTAAAAAAATTAACTGCTAACCGGACTACAGCCAGAATTCTTGCTTTTCCTGTGATTTTTCAGTTTGTTCACACCAGATGCTCTTGTCTCTGCCCTTTTACTTTTGCAATCTTGTTTTATTTCTGAACTCAGTAATCGTAATGCTTTTACTGCCTTAGGACTTGTGCTTACTAACACTGCTATCTAACAGTGGTGTCTACTAAGTTTCTCGGAGCCCTTTCTTGTCTATTGCCTCGGCTGAGGGCTTTGTCATCATGTGGCCACTGCCATTTTCTTTACATGACTTACTTGTTTTGCATAATGGCTTAGTATCCAGAGCAGAAGTATTTAGTAAGATAATTTATATTCTGGTAGGTTACCCACTAATCTATTGAGTATACTTTACTCTTCAATTTTGTTGTCAACTTACTCTACTGTTAAGTATGCCTATAGTTTATAATTTGCCCTCAAACTTTACATTTCTTACAGTAGGTTTCATCACTCCTTTGGGACTTCATAAAAATGGGGTTTTGTCTTTTATTTATCACTGTTCCTGCTGTTTCTGTTATAAACAAAACTACTGAGTTTTGCTTGAGTACAAAAAAGTTTCCCAATGGGGCTGGAGAGATGGCTCAAGAGCACTGACTGCTCTTCCAAAGGTCCTGAGTTCAATTCCCAGCAACCACATGGTGGCTCACAACCATCTATAATGTGACCTGGTGCCCTCTTCGGGCCTGCAGACACACATGCAGGCAGAATAATGTATGTTAAATACATAAATAAACCTTTTTTTAAAAAGTTCCCCAATGGTTATGCTATAATCTGGTGATAGTTCCAGTAGGTCTCCATCTTTACTGCTGCCTGTCCATTGTTGGTGTGAAAGGACAGTGATACATAGTGGACTCAAAGCTAAGAGACTTCTAATTCCTTAGGTGAGAGGACACTCATAATTTGTTATCTCATTTATTATAGCGATCGTGGAACAGGAAATGAAAAAGGATTGGCTCTTTGCACCTCATTACCGATACTATGTAAGGGAAATGAGAATTCATGCGTACAGCCAGCTGCTGGAATCATATAGGTCATTAACCCTTGGCTATATGGCAGAAGCATTTGGTGTGGGCGTGGAATTCATTGACCAGTAAGTTTAACAAATTTATGCATAAAAACTGCCTTTTAACATGTGGTTTTCTACATTTTTTGAATTACACTGCTTCCCTCAGTTTTACAGAAGAAAAAAATGAAGACTTTTCCGCAGTATTATTTTAACAGTGGCATCTGTCCATGTCTTGACTTCCTGGGGATACAGTTTTCAGGGCAGTGAGAAAAATGCAAGGCATGGAAAGTGCTTTGCGTGAGTAATTCCACCAGTTTTACCAGGGTTGTCACCACACTGCACTGGGTTGACAGTGCTGCCCAGATCTTGTTTTGTATTTAGTGGCATTTCCTGTGATAATGTTGGAGTTAGATTGGTGGCAAAATGTGGGAATGGAATCACTGATTCATCAAATACTGAGCTGTTTGTTCGGTGCTGTTGTGGGTCTCTTAATAAACATTCATTCAAGTAAACAAGTCAATACTGGAGTGTACTTAGCACAGTAGGAATGTAGGAACTGTTTGCTTCAGATGTGGCATGCCTGAAGAGGTAAAGTTGGCTTTAACATGAGAAATGTTAGCCATGTGAAGATCTCCACATGTAGAAAAGGAAAAAGCAAAAACAGCCTCAAGATGGGAGCAAGTTGTATCACAAGGTATAGTGATCAGGCCGCTCTTGCATTTGGGGTCAGCATTTGCTGGTTATAGCTGTTTTTTCCTGTCTGAAGTTTTCCTCAGACCACTATACCTTGTGGTATTTTATTCTAGTAGAGGACTCAAAACTGCAACAAATTGGTGATATTGCTACTGTATATGTAGTAGTTCTGAAACTAATGGTGGGTTGTTTTCCTTTTTCTGAATCAGGGAACTGTCCAGGTTTATTGCTGCTGGAAGACTACATTGCAAAATCGATAAAGTAAATGAAATAGTAGAAACCAACAGGTATTCTTATTATCCATCATTTATTATTGCTGATAATAGGGGAGTTTAAATGCCTATGTATACAAGTAGGTCAGCTCTTGTCATGGAGTCATGTGGCTGTTAAATAATTCATTTTTTCCCTTAACTTTATTTATAGACCTGATAGCAAGAACTGGCAGTACCAAGAAACCATCAAGAAAGGAGACTTACTACTAAACAGGGTTCAGAAATTGTCCAGAGTAATTAACATGTAAAACTATTTAAAAATGTATTCCCTCATGGATGTTACTTGAAGCTTTCATAGATTTCTTCACTGTGTGCCCACTTCCACAGCATCAAATAAATATGCCATTGTTTCTGTTTTTCTTCTTAAAACATACACTACATACTGGGTCCACTGATGCCACCTGAATTACTAATGAAAAATGTTCAGTGTTCTTCGACTTTTGCCTGTGTGGTCCACGATAATAGAGGGTATAGTCACACTTATTCACTACACCTCTGATAAATTAGGGATATGACACAAGCCTGTTATCTCGACGTGCACTCTTGGTTTTACATACTCTTAACCATAACTCAACAGTGATTCCCATTTACTATAAAAGAAAAGAATTTTGTTTCAAAAGTGTTGGCCCTCTCTAGGAAGATGGCATGAACTAGATTCTAGAAGATGACTTACTCAAGCAGATACTCAAAGTCCTGTAGAAATATTAGCATAATGAATTTTTCTTTGAATAGAAGCACAGTGATCATGAAGGAATCAAAATTGTGCCTTAACTGCTAAGGTAGGAGTTAGTGCTGTGAAGAAAGGTATGAAACCATATAAAGGCACAGGCTGTGAAGGGAGCTCTGTTCTGTGAGTTACATGAGTAAATCAGTGCCCAAGGGAGGTGGGGAGGCAATGGGGACACTGAACAAAGATGACCAGGTTGGACTTAGTGCTCTGCTGTCACTCTGCGTTCAGTTGTTGTGCTGACCATGTAGAGGCAGCAAAGGTTTGCTAAAAGATTAGAGTAAGGCAGGGGAGGGGTATAAGAAAAATAAGCCAACTAAGATCCCTTAAGTTAAAGATGAATATTATCCTTGATTCTTGATGGAGGCATATTATGAGTTTTATCATAAAAGGCAAGAGAAGAAGAGGGCGAGAAAGGTTTCTTCTGATGCTTTAAGAACACATTCATAAAAATCTGACCTGACTGAAAATAAAGTTCAGCATTTCTCCATTTAAAAAAAAAAAAACCTCTGCAGGAATTAATGGGATGGAAAATCAGGGACCCATGCCAAAATATAAGCATGGTCTTCAAAGTCAAGGTCATATCCTCAGAAGGAGTGGTCACTGGTAAGTAAGGGTAATGCTATGGCCAGACTTTTATACTTGACTTTCTTGGAGGTGCTGTGTGGTGGGCAGGAAGGAAGCTTGTTGGATGTGCCTAAAGCATTTAAAAATACCAAGTTGGGGCTTTCTAAAAGTGCTTATCTTGATAACCTGATAAACTGCTTATTGGCTTTTTGATCAAGAATAAGTATAAAATCCACTTAGTAATGAAAGAATTATGAGTCACCAAGTGAAGCCTCTCTAAGAACTTACCATGTTCCTCAACCCTATATGGGATGCCTCCAACAATTCCCTCCTTGTTCAGGGAGCTTTTTGGGAGAGTAAGCAGAATGTATGAACCAGAGGGGAAAGGGGACACCAAGAAAGCAAGGTCCTCTCCATCAACACAATCGAAGCTGATGAAGTCACATAAGCTCAGTGCCTGCACAGGTCTGCACCAGGTCCTGTGTATGCGTTCTAGTTTCCAGGTTAGTGTGTATATGGAGTTCATGAGTGTGTAAACAAGTGAGTCTCTGATTCTTGTGCCTTCTCTTGGGCTTTTTTCCTTCTGTTTTGTCCAATTCTGTTGTGTGTTTTTGTCAATCTTACCATTTCATTATCCCCAAGAAACCTGTTTTCTAATGAGAGACAGGCAGCTGATCCAGGTAGGAGGAGAGGGGAAGAGGAACTGGTAGAGGTAGGGGAAACCCTAATCAAGATACATGTGTGAGGGAAAAAGTAATAAAAGAACATGCCATGTTCTTTTCAAACTAGCAGAATTCTGTTTATTGACTCAAAAAGACTGAAATGCCTTTTTTTTTTTAATCACCTTTTTTTCAAGTCAAACTTGAAATCAACTTGGCCTGCTGTGATCTTTCAAGGGCAGAGAATGCCCTGCCCACATTCTTCCTTAAGATGATCTCAGTTTTAACTTTTACCCAGTAGTAACAGAAATAGTTCAGCTTCAGGGAAGAAATCAGTGCTTTTCTTTTCATGAAAAGTAATAAATGTTCATTGAGAAAGAAATCCAGGCATTTAAAAGTAGAATTATTTTAAAGTACTCCTCAGAACAGAACAACGTAGATCAGTTTTCTGCAAATAATGGTTAACATTTTGATTATTCTTGTGTTCACAATCTGTATGTATCATCTGTGATACAAAATTGGAGGCCTTGTTATATAGTTTAAGGTTAACTAAGCTTAGAGCTGAAAATAAAACCAGAATTCAACATCTCTCAAAAGATTTTTATTTATATGTATGTACATCTGTGTGAGTGTATATGTATGTGGTTCTCAGGAGGCCAGTAGTAACTGTTCGATTTCCCTGGAATTGGAGTTATAGGAAGTTTTAAGTTCTAGGAACCAAACTCAGGTCCTCAAAAGAGTAGTAGATGCTGTTTGTTAACCTTGGTGGAGCCATCTCTAGGCCCAGCATCTCCTCTGAAATATGGCTGTAAGATGTGAGAGAAACAGTTCCACTACATATCTCAACTAGAAAATTGTTCTAGGCCCAGCTCCCTGCATATTGGCAATCTATACCCAGAGAAGTCACTGCGATTCTATTTCATCATGAATAGAAAGTGGGCTATAATCATGCCCCTTAGAGCTTATTTTACACTACAAACTTCAAAGTCAGATACACTTAGTAGAAACATGCTTCTGTGAAGAATGTTAACAGAAACCACTAGCATATTACTGAACTGAGTCATCTAGACCAGTGTCATGAAAGTGACCAAGAGACTGGCGATTTCCAGCTTTGATACTATGTCTCTTGGCCTTTTAATTTTAAAACATGCCACTGAAGGAAATTTCCCAGTTTATGACCCTATCTTCCATGGAAAACTTAAAACTGACAAAGCAAGGGAGACTTCCTGATACCACAAAACATTGCACACTAGTTACCTTCAAGTTTCACTGGGCTCCTTTAGATATATTCTAAGCAGTATACCTATTGTATGTATTCTTCATGCCCAGATTCTAGATGTAACATAATGCCACATTCTGGCAAATTAATTTGTCTTCTGTGTACTGCACCTGTGAAGCTACCCAGTCAGCTGCTTGTATCAGAAAAATTTAGTCAAATAATTCTTAACTCTCATCTATGGTGACTTTAATTTATAGAGCTTGCCCTTTCTAACTTAGGTAAGGGTCCTTCACAAAACAGAAGATAGTAAACTAGTACAGAGCAGAAACAACATAAGTTCCTTTTAATACTGGTGAATGCTGAGTATATGGTATAGTAAATATGGGTTTTTTTTTAAAGATTTATTTATTATGAATACAACATCCTGCCTCCATGTATGTCTGCATGCCAGAAGAGGGGACCAGATCTCATTGCAGATGGTTGTGAGCCACCATGTGGTTGCTGGGAATTGAACTCAGGACCCCTGGAAGAGCAGTCAGTGCTCTTAACCTCTGAGCCATCTCTCCAGCCCCGTAAATATGGTTTTAAAAGCAAAATAACACACCACACAGTAAAACCATCTATTTTTCCCAGGTACATTCAGCTACTTCCATAAGACAAATCCATTTCTGTCTTACAGTTCCATTCAGACAGCAGCCACCAGAGGATTAATCTGAATTTCCTTTTCCTATCAGCAATTTCAGTCGATGGTACACTTCCTTGTCTATACCACTTCAAGTGTATCAATTGGTAGGTTTGGCCGATCTCGAAATCTGATAAACATAACTAGACCTCAAGGTCTCTGAAAGAGTTCCCCAATTATTTCTCTTCCCACCCTTGGCAGTTTAGAGACCCAACATTGATTACCCAGATCACTGCAGCAGACCTGAAGTTTACACGGGCTTGAGGAGTCTGCCCTTTCCTGTCCTGTCCCATCCCCACCAGTTCTCCCTTTTAAGACAAAGGGTTAATAGTGTTTGAGTCTCCTCTTCCTGAAAAATTTTACTTTGGGGAATCATAAGACTAAGAGATTCTAGAAATGTCTACTTTGGTCCATGAGCTTTGGCTGTATTAAACAAGGTAACAAGGACCAGAAATTAGCTTTCTAAGATCAAACAAAGTCTTAAACTGCTTTCAGCAACAAGAACATCAAGACCTTAGAAGAAACAGAGCGGAAGAGGTTTTTTTTTTCCTTTTAATGTATGTGTGTAAGAGAGCACATGTATGTATACATGCTGCTGTGCATGTGTGGTTAGTAGAGAACTTGGAGGAGTCTGTTAATTTACAATGTATATTACGGGGCTCAAACTCAGCTCTTCAGGTTTGACAGTAAGTGCCTGTACTCGCTGAGCCACCTTGCTGTCCCAGCGACAGCCGTTTGATTAGGAATTGGAAAGATAAAGACACGTTTGATGGAAGAGCCTGACAATGTAGGAAATGGGGAAGCAAGAGTCCTGCATGTCTTTTGACTTCCAGGCTGTGGCAAAGACCAAAGTGGCCAGATGCACAGACCCAGGAAATTTCTCTGGGCTCTAGTGGTTACCTTTAAGCATGAGCTAGCTCCTTATGCTCCTGAGGACAGAGGCTCATGACAACCAACAGTGACAGTCCATCAGCACCTCCTGGCCAGTGAGTTTCACAAATCTTTCCCACATCTTTTCACACCTTTGTCCTGTTAGCTCTTTTGCAAAGTGCAGTTCTGCCAGCAAAATCCCATTTGCCAAGATCCCAAAACTGCTAATTCTGCCCCTTGAGATGGTTTCTTGCCATCCAGGGCCAGGTTACCTACAAAGAAAGGCAGTAGAAAAGGTTTAGTGATTGGGTACTTGATCCTTTTCTTTGATGGCCTGGAGACACTCACAGTGAAAGGATTTATCCACGGGGAGATCATCGGTCACTGCATCATCTCGCTAATGCTCACAAGGCAGTGGAGGTTGGTCCAGTTTGGCTAGTTCATGTACTATATGAGCATTTTCCCAAGTGAGTTATTTTATACAGCAACAAAAAATTATGAATGACTATACAATTATGTTATGCTCTGAATAAAACAAATGAATTGGTATGGCTAGTAAGGTGGGGGGAAGGTACAAAAATAATCAGAGGTCAGGCGTTGGTGGCACACGCCTTTAATCCCAGTACTCAAGAGGCACGTGCAGGCAGATCTCAGCGAGTTTGAGGTAAGCCTGGTCTACAAAGTGAGTTCCAGGATAGCCAGAACTGTTACACAGTGAAACCCTGTCTCAAAAACAAAAACAAAACAAAAAAATCATTTCCTTCCTTCCTTTCGTCCTTCCTTCCTAAGAAGAGACTGTATGGGCTCCATATTTAATACCTCCCTCAAAGGTGAAAAATCTAACACAAACTTAACACATACATCAAATTCAGAAAGGTGCAAGTTTAAGTAGAATGTTGTCTCTGCACTGCCGACTTCTCCATTTCCTTCAGGATACCACATTGTCTGTTTATACAGGGATCATTTCATCCGAGTCAAAGCTTAATGCCCAAGAACGGGAACACAGTGTAGTCTCTAGAGAACTGAGCCTGTCCTGGAGAAAGGCTGAAGCGAAGGCTGTCTGATGTAAAGCTCATGGGAAGGTACTAGAGTGAGAGGCTTAGTACCACAACAAGGCAGAGACATGTGAAGCACTTCATGCAGCCAACCTTATTTATTGAGAAGTCCTAATTTTATTGCCCATTTAATAACAGGTTTGTTCAACAAACTAGTTTCTCATAAAGCAAAGCACAACTTTTTCTTATAAATAGTATAAATTATTTTATTTACAGAAACTTGTTACAAAACAAATAGACTATTATATTTCTTCTCTTTTAAATATCCAAAGTAATTTTCTATCCCTTGACATTTGTTCATTTCTATACAGCAGCCAACACAAAGTCCAGCTGAGATGCTCTTGATTATGTGTACACATTTATCAAACTATTCACACATTTTATTTAACACAGGAGATTGCTTTTATAACCAAGCTCAAAAAAAAATTCTTTCAAGGCCCTGCATTCACACTGACAATATGTAGTGCTCATTTAAGTGATCTGAAAAGGTAAAATGTTTTACAACAAGATGTAAAAATGATTATTTTCTTTTAAACAATGAAACTTTTAACAATCATTTTTCAAAGCCTAACTTTTCCCAGACCCAGGACAGAATGGAGACATTAAGAAATCCCTTGGCAACAGAACTCTTACAGGAAGACAGCTGCCTTTATAAGTTACATTGTTTTTCAAATTAAACATTTGTTTCAATGTTCTCAGAGGTACTTCTTGTATTTTTTATACAAAATATTTTAAATATCCTATCTTAAACTCTGTATTTCATGAGTGAGTAACAAAACAGCTGCTGGCTGACATCGGTTTATAACCCCTTGGTGGCACTGGGCAGTCAATTGCCAGTTAAATTACTGTGAACCAAAAGTCTTAATTTTAAAATACCTTATAAAAATTACTAGCCTTGATGGCTTTTAACTTCTCCCCTAAAACTTTAGAGATAACATGTAGGTGGAAAAAGCAAACTCCAGAAGTTCAACTCAGCATTCAAGTCTTTAAAGAGAATCTGTCTGAGCTAAAACTAGGTTCAGGCACTTTTCAGCTTTGTTTTGTTTTCCCCATTAGTTTAAACCACATCACATACTAATAACACAGGTGTGCTCAGAGTATTCACACACACACACACACACACACACACACACACACACACACACACACACACACACACACACACAACTAAACAAAGAAAAGCAGTGTGTCACTTGGTTCCATGTAGTCTAAATGGAAATCAGGCAACTGAAAGAAGCCACGCCCACTTCATCTGTATGAATTCACTCCGGGACACTAAAAGGGACAGAGACTTTCACAGAACAGAGGCATCCCTTAACTGTAAAGGAGGCAGGTTCTAAACTATTGGCTTGGCAGTGAACCACTTCAAATTATAAAAAGGTATTTATTTTTATTAATTAATAAATAAATACTAGATGATCTCAATTGTACCAAAACAGGATATCAGAAAAAAAGACCTGTGCAAAAATACATATTTAAATATGTACAATTCATTTTTAACAAAATATGTCTTCTGAAATAGGGATACTTCCATATTTATAATAGAACAAGAAATTCCAAAATAAAGATACAAAAGTAGTTTTTTTTTAAATAATTCTTTGTTCATCATTGCAGCACTTTTTTTTGTAGTTTAAGAAAACTGCAGAAGCTGTCATGAATTCTATTGGAAAGAATATAAAAATTATCTTGGTTTTAAACTGACACCAAAGTCTGTCTAGAAACAATCCAAGTACTGCAAATTTGGTTTTTGCAAGTTAATCTAATTCAAAAAATATTTGTACTCCCATATTTTAAATGGTCTTAACTGTTCATCATCATAAAAAGTAGTTGTCAGAGAAAATAAAGTATTTGAACAGTCTAAACTTTAGTAGCACTGTTTAGAATATGTCTGTTTGTGGCAGGCAGAATCCAAAATGGCTTTTCCTCATCCCAAGGCTATGTGTGTTACCCAGGGATATAATGAAGTTCAATTAAAACCCCAGTCTAAGAAATCAAATTATAACACTCACTAATCTAAGTCTCTACTTTATTCTGAATAAACTTCCTATTGTGGCTCCTATTCACATCTTTCGGAACAACATGACCTGTCTATAAATTCCATCACTAAAAGCAACTTAATTTATAACCATCAAGTCCCCTTGGCTCTGAGAATAAATTCTACCCACACCCATTGCACTTGTCACCAAGTAATTACTATGTAACTGACTCCCTCTTTCCTCCTTTCCCACCTCTGGGCCGGGAGAGACCGATCCCTCCTAACCTGACCACACTGGTCATCCATGCTCTCCTTAGAGTTCTCTCCTAACATCATCTTTAAAACATTCACTGATTGATTGCATAAGTGAATAAAACTCTGTTTTCCCTCCCTTAGAAAAATTCAACATTTTACATTAATTTATAGTTAAAGTATCTGCATAAAGTGTTTGTGTTCTTAAAGAATAAGAGTAAGTGTAGCAATTCACATTATTAGGCTGGTAACCAAGTATTTATTCATTCTACCTGTTGTTGACTGAAATTCCCTGAAACTCAAGTTTGTAACCTAAGAATTATAGGGGAAGGACCACTGCCTGGGCTCTGCCCAGACACCGGCCAAGACAAGGGTAAGAGCCTTGGGGACTGCACTTTCGGCCACTCTATTGTACTCTCCTAAGCCAGAGGACTTGGCTGTCTGTGCAGGAGCTGTGGTACTGGCCCTAGATCATCCCCAAATTTCACTGGTAGACAACTTTTCAAGCAACGTTTTTACATATTAAACATTCTTTGGGAGTGGGGTACTGAAAAATCTTAAGAGGGCTTTACAATTCACTCAAGGAAGTTGGCTGTCAATCACAAGAAAGGAGGGTGTGTATGAGTAAACACTGTTGACCCTCACGAAGCTGCCCCCCATGGGCACATACAAGGCGCTAGGACCACCCTCTCTTGGGGGGGGGGTCTGCTCCTCAGCCTACCTGCATCCAAATACACATCTCTAGTGGCCTGAAGGGAAGCTGTGACACAGACACAATGACAGCAGTCCTGAAAGCAGAAACTTACACTTCTCCAAACAATATTGAAAGAGGAAATGGGAGTAATGCCTTGGAAATATTTAAGGACATCATAGTAACTTTAAAAAGGCAAATCTTAAAAAGCAGACTGAGTAAGGCGATCAGCCCACTCTGACACTGTTCAACAATGAACGCATTAACAAGAAGAGTCCGTCTCTTTGGAAATCCTGCAAGTTTTGCTCCACTTCGTGATTTTTTTCACTTCCCCAAATCCGGTGTCCCAACTGGCTTTTCATCACCAAAACTAGTTTTCCTTTTGTCTCCGTCTTCCTTTTCTTCATTCTTCCTTTCTTTCTCTCTTTATCACACATGCTTTTGTACCATGAAAACTAAGCTTCTGAGATACTTTCAACTTAATATCCGGGTATGAGCAGCTTCAAACCAGTTCTTAAGTTGGAAGAACTTGATAAGCTTCTTATCCCACATTACAGGGAAAGGCTTGGCTACTATGTCTTGATGCACTGACCAACATCAGTATTCTATTCCTGAACACTGCTAAAAGAAAGTCTAAAGCCAGATATCCTCTAGGAGGCTACTTAGGATGCAACTCGCTCCCTTTTCTTTGGAAGGCCTCCAGTCTCCAGTTAAGGTGTCTACCTGCTGGAGAATGACCTACAGGTGAGAATGTGTTCAAAAAACAAAACAAAAAAATTCTGGCGGAAAAAAGGAGGAGGAGGAGGAGAGTCTACAGTAACGCTCTTGCCAAAACATTCTTTTGCCCAGCCAATCTACTTCAAGAGTGGCTCCATGATATGCTGCAAGTTAAAAACAAAAACAAAAAACACAAACAAAAACTTCTCACAGATTGGTAGCAAGCAGTCAGACCACTTTACCACTGATAAAGCAGTCTGGTGGCTGAACTTGATCCAGTGTCCTTTCTGGGTACTCACTGCTACAGACACAGTGTCAGGAAATCCTTGGGAGACAGCCACAGGTTACCCTGGAGCCCACAGGAGTTTACAGAGACTCAAAGGCATCGTGGGGTCCAGAGTGCTGAGCAGAGGTGTAACTTGTCTTCAAAAATGTCTGCATTATTCCTTCCAGTGGTATTATCAGCTGTCAGGGACGTGCCTTTGGCTTTCAAAAAAGAGAGGTAAGGAAACACATAAGTAAGTGGCTAACTCCTGTGCTCCCCATTCTATACAAGTATACCCGACACTAACCCTCCACTGAACTACTGCGGCCAGGGAGAACCACCACAGGGCCAACCTCAAGCTTGTAAAGACTCATTTCAGAAAACCAGCTGGCACCAATGGTGGCTGTCAGGGTTCCCAGCTCTCATGTTTGCCTTCTTTTTTTTTTTTTTGGTTTTTCGAGACAGGGTTTCTCTGTATTGTTTTGGAGGCTGTCCTGGAACTCACTCTGTAGACCAGGCTGGCCTCGAACTCACAGAGATCCGCCTGCCTCTGCCTCCCGAGAGCTGGGATTAAAGGCGTGCGCCACCAACGCCCGGCTTCATGTTTGCCTTCTAGTCTAAGTGTTTCTAAATTTGTGCTCTTGACGGTATTCTAGGCTGTTAATTCTAAACAGAATCACATGTGTTAACACACAGATGTGGCAGTTTACACCAAGGCACAGTCCACAGCACAGGGACGAAGCTCAGTCCTTCCCATGGAGTAAATTAAGGCCTAGCAGCCAAGAACAGACTGGTGCTGGTGCTGGTGGTGCTGGTGGTGTGGGGTGTGTGTGTGTGTGTGTGTGTGTGTGTGTGTGTGTGTGTGTGTGTGTGTGTGTGTGTGTGTGTGTGTGTGTGTGTGTGTGTGTGTGTGTGTGTGTGTGTGTGTGTGTGTGTGTGTGTGTGTGTGTGTGTGTGTATACTAATTGCCACGGGCTTCCCACACCACTTCTGTTTTCAAAGACTAGCCAGCCCAAGCAACACTATTTAAAAAGAAACAGCAAATCGGGGTTTCTACTTTTCTAGAAACATGTTTGTTTTTAGACAAGGTCTCTCTGTGTAGCCTTGGCTATCCTAGAACTTACTACAAAATCCAGGCTGACCTTGAATATGTGTGTCACCATGCCCACTTCGGGATCCTGTTCTTTAAAGTGCTTTTAAATCATGAGTTCCTTTGAGATTCTTATGCAGCTGGTAAGATCCCTCCCAGTCAGATACAACACTTTGTAAGGTTTACATATATCCTCTGATTGCAAGCCTTGGGGTCCCCAGGATTTTTGAAGTATAATTAAAAACAAAAGCAAAAGCATCCTCAACAGAAAAAAATCTTTCTGTAACACAAACTTGAGTTGCAATTGATTTTAATAATCCAAACTTGGACTGTCTGGGTCTTCCTAGTAGATAACCCCCAACCCTGTGGGGTAAAAAGCAGAGGAATATTGGCAGATCCTAACTCAAACTCTCCAACAGATATGTAGGCTATAGTAGATTTTTAAAAGGGAGATAGGGAGCAAATTTCACACCCAAGCCTAGCTCTGAAATTTCTCTTTAAACTGGTGACAAGACGGGGAACAACTGCTCCATGTTGGCAGGACTACACTGCAACCCCAGACCTCACATAAACACTGCTAGACCATCTCTGCTGCCCCCAATGCCCACCTCTCCCTTCACTTCTCCCATTAGGGTAAGAGGAAGATCTACCCAAGTCCCATGCTCTAAATGAAGACAGCGTGCTCTACGCTACAAATGTGCAATGGATATTACAACCTCTCCTACAGAGATCTCAGTCCACAGGATACTATGCTCAGAAGGGGTTTTGAGGGGTGACTATATTGTTTCTTACTGCTTTTGTACTAATGCTATATGAATCATTACTATATAAATAACTACAACATAAGCAACAAAAAGTTCACATTTGCCCAAGTACTCCTACTCCAAAAGGCAAAAATTAAGCAGCTACTTTGAATTTAAGTAGCTATTTCCCCCATTAATTTTTGACATTGTCAATTCACACAAATACTGGAGAAAAGTAAATTACAATAGGAAATGCCTTGGCATTTTCTGAAAAAGCCCTAAGCATTTAAGTTCTGAGGATGAGGAAAAGGGAAAATAACATAAAAGAGAGCCTCACTTTTTAAGTCAGGGCTCTGGGGTGCTGCTGCTGCAATTCCTGTTCGTAAGCAAGGAGAGAAGATATCCTGATGAATGAAATAACAAGATGAGAGATGAGCTGAAGTTAGGGCAAAAGAAGCTGGAAGAAAGAACTACATGAGAGACAGTCAAAAGAAACCAACAAGAAGCCTGGGGGAACAGACAAGATACAGCACAAGCAAGTCACAACCTACTATGACCCCAAGGAATCACCTCTACTAATGGGACACACAACACATGTCTTCTTCAGGTATGACTTGGAACAAGATTCCAGTCTTCAGCCGTGCCAACCCTGAATCTTATTCCCCACCTCCCTTGAAAATATGGAGGAGAAAATATGGGTGCAATTTAACCAAAAGTATCTGAAATTGCTCAAGATGAAAAACATTTCAAATTATTATTATTTTGTAAAGGTCCAACTAAAGTAATTGCTTACTAGAATCAGTTTGACTTCAGCCGGGAACACATTAGAAGCACTAAGCAGATTCAAAATGCTCCCAGTTTCCTTTGCTAGCAGAATCAGGGTACCTGCTCTGTGCCTTTGCAAAGGGAACCCCTTCACCTGTGCTGTCACGTCTGATGCTTTATTCAGGCCAAGATGCTAATGCGTGTTTGAAAGGCATTAGACATTCCGTAGAAATGTTTCCCTTCAAATGGACAGGGACTTTCCTCTGTTAAAGATTATCACAGAAGCTGGGCACCCTTTAAAGGCAAACCAACCAACCCAACCAGTTTCCAGAGTTGGCAGAAGACCCCACAAAAGAGGGTGCAGACACCGCCAGAAGATCAGAGTCCACTTCCTACCTGATGAAGGAGGGCACTGTTCGTCAGTCCTGGGGCCCCCGGGATGGTGCCTGTGTGTTTCATGTGGACGTTGTTCATGGCTGGCAATCTGGCAAGCTTTGTAGGTTTGCTGCCACTGTCGCCGACGTTGCTAGAGCCCGCAGAGCATTTTCTTTTCTTTCCTATGAGTTTGTCTAGAGGAGTGTGTGAGTGTGGAAAGCTGCCCTGGGAGTTGACAGGCAGCTCATTGGCTTGATGAACGAATGGCCCGAGAGAAAGAGTGGAGTCACTGCTATTCACCATTACACTCATCCTCTTGATGGGCTCCGCAGGGCTCACACCAGGAGGACCTCTCCCTGCCTGCTCGTGCCGCAGGCTCACCGAGGGCGCTTTGTTTGTCACACAGTTGAGGCCGAGGCTGTGGGAAGATGCTGTGGTCGACAGGTATGGAGTCCCAGGGTGAGCCACGCAGTTTTTCCTAAACGAGTCCACGGAATGAGAGGAGGAGGAGGACGACGAGGAGGAGGAAGAATGAACTAGCAGTGGGGAATTGCTTTTGCGTTTCTTTCCTGAGCCACCACTGGTACTGCTACTGGCATTGTGACAGTTACTGCTGTTACCAGAAGACTCCTTGGGCCTTACAGACTTGCTAGGTTTCAATTTCTGAGGTTTTCTGGACAGAGGGGAGGAGGGGACTGAAGAGAGGCTGGAGGGTGTGGAGGGGGATGAGGATGAAGCAGATACTTGTCTGGATTGCACACTGCACACAGGATCCATTGCCCCCGAAACAGCAGGCTGTGCATTTAGAGTGGTTCCATGAGCTGGTACTGATTTGCTGTTTGGGGAGATGCAGGTGGACGACAGCATAACTGGGGATGTAGAGACAGTGGTTGCTGCAAAGTAGCTGATCCCACCTTGTGAAGTCGGCACAGAGTTTGTCCGGTGAGGAATACGGGCAGATACAGGTGACGTAGTACAGGGCACTGGTGGGATTTTCCTGTAAAAAGGAGATACCATGAGTGCTAATTACCACAGCTGGCCACGGATGTTTATCATAACTATAACTGGCCATGGATGGTTACAGATGGGCACCCCTTTATCTTGGGTCTGAGAAACATACCCTTATCACAAAAGCCAATACAAAACACAAACCCAATTCTGATGTATGTTTCCTTCCATTTCTTTATGATTCCTGGGGATCTGGAAACACACTGTGTATGCCTCACTACCCCTACAACTCTAGCTTCACACCTCCACCGCTGATCTGTAGAAAGTAATCTTTCTTACACCCCAAGCACACCCCACAGTGCAAGAACTCCTGCAGTCCTACGTCTGGGCCATTGCAGTTAGTTCTGGCCTCTGCTCATCACTGTAATTTCAAGCCATCACTGTCTTAAGAAGTCTGTCCCGGGGGTGGAAGAGATGGTCCAGCAGGTAAGGATAGTGGTTGCTCTTCCAGAAGACCCAAGTTCAATTCCCAGCACCCACATGGCAACTCACAATAGTCTGTAATCCAGCTCTAAGTGATCTGACACCTTCATACAGACATAAATGCAGGTAAAACACCAATGCACATAAATTTTTTTTTAAAAAGTCTACTCTGACCATCATATGCCTTGCTTAAAGGTAAGGTTGCCTGGTGAAAGACTGCGAGACTGGAGGTAGCGTTAATATGTGACTGCAAATCATTTATTCCTTTGCAGATGCTGTAACCCACAGCATACGTACCCTTTTATTCATAAGACCTGGAATACTATATTCAAACACTGAGGAAATTCAAGCAAGAATGAGTTACTTAAGCTATAGAGAGGTTGTGACTCCTGGCCTAGACATTGTGCAGGAGACAAATCCAAAGGGGACTTTGTTTGGAAGGTATAAGGAATGTTATGTTTGGAATATCTGGGCAAAGTACTAAGTAGGGAATGAGAGCTCTATCTGGACAGCCAGACATAAGAGACCCCCCTTTTATTTTAGCTCTGAGTTCTAAAAACATGACAGCATAAAAGAAAAAGAAAACCTAATAAGCCTGATAGCAGCAATAAAATTCAGGCGCTAACGGCGGCACACAGGAGCACAGGCCTACGGCCCCACACTCAGGAGGCTGGAAGATGACAATTGCTTGAACCAAGGGATGAGGCACAGACCTAGTGAAGAAAAACAAAAACAAGGGGCCAGGAAGATGTGCCAAGACCAGCCTACCTTCGCCGGGATGCAGTGGCCGACTCAATTACAACCCCACGGAGCTCAGTCTCCTCCACATGGGCACATGCGGCCTGAAATGCTGCCTTGTGACTTCACTACTAACCTTAGCAACTAGTGACTGTGTTCATCTCCACTTTAAAACCCTCACTGCACTTCTGCGTCTCCACTCAGCTGGACACTACAAGCACTTACGGAGCCTAAGTCACAACCACACTTATCACACAGGAAACCTCAGGGAAAGCACACGGACGGCAGCCAGCACTCAAATTTCTCTAGCGGACTCCAATGTGAGCCCACAGTGAGAAGCCTGTCTCTAACCTTGTGATACTCACTGATATTACGTAAGGGGGTTGTCAGGAATATGAATTCCCAGGCCTCAGCCCAGACACCCTCAGCAGACTGTCTCCCAACAGCTTACCAGGCAAGCTTTTGAGTGTAGGTTGTTCACTGGATGCAGTACCTGACTGTGGCCACTAGGTGGCTCATGAGGTTGGGACTTAAAACACCAGGCTGCCTGAAAACAAATCCTGAGAAAAGAAAATAGGTTTTCCCCCATAGGCAACATGTGAACCTCTTGGGATGATATAACTCCTTCCTCTCTTAAAGGATCTGACAAGATAGATAATGGTATTCAAGAAAAGAGTACTATATGTAAAAATATGAAGGTAAGAAATGGGAAACTGACACTCCAAACTACAAAAATACATTTGGGTGAAGTCAGTCCCATGCCCCTCCCACAATACAGGGGCACAGTTGAGAGATCACAGGAGCTTGAGATGCCTTGAGTCAGCCAACGCTCCAGAGAAAGGCTGGTCCACGACTGTTCAGAATACCCAGGAGCTACAGAGGACTCGTTTTAGGCTCACATTCAGTCTGTACTGACAACCAAATTTACCAGAATAAGCAGCTCAGGGTAAGGGGACGAGAGTGCTGCTCAAATGGGTCCCTTCCCACGAGGAAAATGTCTGCTGAGCCGTAGGACAGGACCCAGAACACTGTGACAACACCCTGCAGTGTCTCGCAGAGGCCCCTGGGCAGGTCCCTGGTGAGAAGGGCTTAGCTCCCCACGCACATTAGGGGCTGTGAGAGAAGGCTGCCCAGAATTCAACTCACAGCACTCCTGCTGCAGGGGTTTCAAGAACACTCATGACTGGGTCCCAGTCCACCTCCCAATTCACCTCAAGTCAGCTCATCTTCAAACCACTCATAGTCCCTATTGCCTCTGGCTTTTACGAACAGAGGTCAGGGGGCTAGGAAGAGTGTGGCTCAGTGGGTAGAGACCCTGCTGAGCATACATACAGCTGTAGGTCTGAGCACAGCACCACAGAAAACCAGGCATGGTGTGCCCGGAATCCCAGTACCCAAAAGGTCAAGTAAGGTCAACTCTGGCTTCATAGCAAAACTGAGGCCATGCTGGGATGAAAGTAACTACTGTGAATAAATAAACCAGGGTTCATGTTAAGGGACAGGAGGAATGGGTAATGGGACAGACATCCTTGAGAGAGGCCCTGCCAGAGCAGCGGGCCAAATCAGGCTCAGAGACCTGCCAGTTCCTGTCCACACAAAGCACTAACTGAAGGCATCTCTCCCATGCTGGCTGCAGAGCACTTACTGGTCCAGGCAGGTCAGCTGTGGGCAGGAGTGCTGTCCCTCAGAAAGGAGACAACTTCAGGGAGAAGGACAGAGCAACACTGCCTGCCCTCAGTCTACTCACTACTGGACAAATCCAAGTCCTGTCAAAGTCACGGAGACAGACTTTCTGACTAGAGACTAAGGCCCCAACCAGCTATAGCTGACTACCAGGAGACCAAGTCATGAGAGCTAATGGCCTTTCTATCCATCATCCATTCAAAAGGTGCTAGTCAGTGATAGCCACCCACCTGGTGACCCCTGGATGACAGGGGACAACTTGAGAGTTCCCTATAATAAAATATCCCACTGAACACAAGTTTGGGATATCTAAAAGGTATCCCAAAGTCAAAGGAGCTGGAAATGTTCTTCAGTATACAGAGAGGTCTTCTGCTTTGACAGTCACAAAAGTCTCACCGAGCTGCAGAAGCTGTAGCACTGGTAAGTGCTGAACATGAAAATAAGATTACTTGAAATGCTGAATTAAAGTTTTTTTTTTTGGCCAAGGATTCCTCCTTTTACTTATAAGCTTTTTAGTAAATATTAACATACATGATACTATGTAGGATTTTTCAAGGGTAGGGTGACACAGCTAAGTGATGGAATGCGTAGCTATCCTGCTGAGGATACAGTTTCATCCCAGCTCAACAAAACTCAAAAACTTCAACATGTAAAGCTACAGACCCAAGCTCACGGCTCCTCTACCTAAAGCCAGCTTACCACTGCACCCAACAGCTTCAGTGCTGCCTGGCCCTGCTAGCCTCTTGGGCCTTGGCTTGTCATATACTCGCGCTCTTGTTGTTTCTCAAGTCATCACCTTTCCGACTAGGCCCCTTCTTCACACATCGGGTTTCTCCTGGAAACAACCCTGCTCACATCCTAGTGACAGCTCTTCCAGACCCATAGCCTGTTATTTTCCCATATCAACTCTGTTTGGAAACAAACTGCCACCTAGCGGCCCCACCACTACCTGCTGTATGACCTTGCATATCTATTAATTAAAAAAAAAGGATAATCATGCTCACATAGCAAAGACTTATAAAATCCAATAGTTAACAGTCCCCAGCATACAAATAGCTTCCAATAGGTGTTAGTGGTGACTGTTTCTTCCAGTATTTCTCTGATAATAAGCTGCAGTCTCTTTTCTGTTGACTAATTTTTGTGTCCCTACCGATATGATGAGGCCCTTACATGTGGGAGTCCTTCTACTTTGAGCCCAGAACAAGATGTTGTTGTTGAAAGAATGAATGAATATATGAAAGAGCAGGTACTTTCTTCCTATAGCTAATGGCTATTTTCCCCCATTTCGATAAGCATGTCATATTCCTTTTTTTCTTTCTTTCTTTCTTTTTTGGTTTTTCAAGACAGGGTTTCTCTGTGTAAGAGCCCTAGCTGTACTGGAACTCGCTTTGTAGAACAGGCTGGCCTCGAACTCATACAGATCTGCCTGCCTCTGCCTCCCGTAATGCCATATTCTTAAAAACAGAACTTGAAGTCATCAAGAAAATGTATCATGGGGGCAAGTCACCCCCCACCCCCAAAAGGCACTTACTTCCATAGCTGTGCATTCAAATGTTTTTCTACCATGAGGTTAAGGGCACAGCGAAGGCGGTTCCACCTGGAGTCAAACACGTAGTAACCTCTTCCGATCTGCCGGCTCCCAAATGTGCAAAACTGAAAGACAGCAGTGTAGATGTGTGTCACCTCCCCTGCCAGCACAGAGCTGAAATGCCTTGAGCACCAGAGGCTATGGAACTCGAGAGGGAGCATCAATGCCTAGCACTGACTTTTGAAGAAGAAGAGAAGGAAGAGTAGGAGAGGGCCCCAGAATGAGTACACGTACCCTACGGTGCTACATGTACAGCCTGGCAAGGTCTATGCTGCACCGGGGAGGCCACCGAAAGTGGGTGCAGAACTTACCGATGCTGGCTGAGGATGGTGCCCTGAATAATGACAGTCCAGTTTTTCAACAGACTCTTCTTTGTCATCGCCTTCACCCTCCTCACTTGATAACCGAGACGCTGGCTCAGTGGCAGGTAAGGGAGGGTGTGGAGACTCGTGGCCGGGAGGAGGGTCAATGGGGGTACTCCCACCCTGCTGAGCAGGGCAGCCTGGAGGCCTGGAGGAGTAAACAAGGACAGCACAGCTCAGAACAGAAGCACAAGCTGGCCACCAGCAGCCTCACCTCAGACACCATGTAAGACCACAGGGGATGGAGGAGAGAAGCAGGCCCACCAGCCCTAAGGCACCGAGAGTGTGCACGCGCGCTACGCTGCTCCCCTTAGCAGGCCAGGTCTCAGGGGAGTGTCTGCCACACACAGCCAAAGGCAGCTTATAACTGTTCTTCCCCCAAGAGCTATTTGGTGTCCAAGCCTCTCTTCCATTCTCCCCAAAGAACAGGGACACAGTGCAACTTAGGATTCTTTCATTGACTACTCTTCGTATCTCAAAATATTTTAACAGTATTTCTCATGTGTATGGTAACTGGCAAAGTCCTCCAGCACAACTAACCTAAAGGGATAGGAGGAGATAATGAGTGAGGTAGCATTACTACCTCACAAGGTCGGTCTAGACATCATGTGCTCAAGGGTTATGATGATTTCTTCCTACATCTACCCCATAGGATGGCCTCGTGGCTTCTAAGCAAATGTCACTTTTCAGACGAATGGTCTTCATTGAGAGGCTTCCGAAGAAAAGACACACAGGGACCTGGGTCTGAGCCTGACTATACCTGTGGAAGCCTCCACTGACCACTCTCTGATGCCTGAGGCTAAACCAAGGGCTGGCTTGTGTTGCGCTGTTCTGACATGCCCAAGTATATACACTTATGTTATCTTGAGGGAGATGTTTCTACCTTAACGAAGCCATCCCAAGGATCGGGTACAAAAGGGTGAAACGAAGCAGCAGCAGCAGGGGCTGGCACACCAGCAGAAGCCCTGTGACTTCTCACCCCAGCCCCACACCCTGTCTCTGGAAATGGCTTAAAGAAGCACAAGGGCACACACACTCTCCGTCACTGTCTCTGAGCTATGCACACAGTAAAGTCTTATTAAACCACTCTGACCTTGCTTCTATGCTGCTCCAATGCCTACTTTATGCAGAAGATAAAGTTCCAAATGAGTGAATGAAAACTCATGTTGACAAACAGATGCTATTAAAGCAAGACCCAGTCTCAGCTCCACTTATCAGGGTTAAGAGAAAGCTGGCACAGGACCACAGAAGGGCAGGCACTCTTCACCTTATACTAGTGTGTGCATTTACACCTGGGAGCCCTGGTCAGAATCTTCAACAGCTTTACAGTAACCCAATTACAAAGTACCAACCCCCATTGTGACAGTGACAGCGTTGACAGCAGGACGTAGAGGGTGGAGGGGTACACAGGACACACGGGGTCTAGACACCTGTTCCCTGAAGAAGGGAGACACAGTTGGAGGCTGCCTTACCTTGGAAGACTAGGGGTATGAGGTTTCGGTTTACTAGCTACAAAAGGCTTCGATTCTGAAGAAAGGTGTGGCTCCTGTGGCAGCATCCGAGGAGGGGTGGGATGCGGGTCCCTGAGAGGATGTGGTGGCTGCTGAGAGTCTGGATGGCGAATCAATTCCTTTTCCCTGGCTTTGTTTTTGTGCTCGGCCAATAACACATCGAATCGTTTTCTTCTACCCTGAACAGCTCTCCGCTGGGTTAAGGAATGTGTCTACAATAGACACACAAACAAAAACAAGAAACACAGAAACTGAGGAATTTCATTAAGAAATATGCTGTGTATCCCCAAACATATCCCTCAGGAAAGCATGCTACAGCTTTCGAAGACTGGACGTGTTTCTCCTCAGAGAAGCCGGAGGCCCACACTCCAGCTCTTAACGGTAGGAACCTGGCACGTCATTCCGCATGAGGAAAGGAGCAGCTGTAGCTGTGCCACCTGGCGGCGAAACGAGCACTAAACAGTACAAAGGGCAGGCCCTCGTGTTTTGTGCCATTAAAGCAACTCATAGGCTCTTATGAATTTCATTAAAGAAAAAAAAAACTCAAGACAATTTAAAATTCTGAATACGCATTAAGAAAACATATTGGTAAAGTTTTCTTTTTAGTAACTGAGGACAAAAGTTAAACACAACTGCTTTTCTCTACTCAACAAAATAAGGTAAGAAGAGAGAAGAGGGCTCACAGAACTATACAGACAGTCTGATACAGCCAAGAAACGGCTTGAGAAAAAGAAAAGGCAGAAGTGCAGTAAATACCAGAAACACACAATGCTTTTCAGCTCTCGAGGATCTATTCAGTATTTCTAACAGCGGAAATGGGCACATAGAGAACGAGGCAGTCCTGGCTTTAAAAAGGTGACTAATATAAGCCAACTGTTGATCATATCTTACAAGAAAACATCAGATTATCAAATGCATTTGATAATCACTGATATTTTAACATTAGTGTTGTTTTTAATCTTGTATATGTACACTGTCTATAAGTGGTACCTGCATGTGAACGCAATGACTTGGAGAAGCCAGAAGGGCTGGATAAGTTACAAAAAGTAAAGCCACCCACGGTAGGCGCTGGGAAGTGACTCTTACCCAATAAGCATCCTCCAGCCTCTGACATTTTAAAAGCATATACCCAAAGTCCAATGCTATTCTGAACAGGACACAAAGTTGAATCTTCGAGAGCGAAGTGATCAGGCTAAGCTAATCAATCCCTGTGAAAGTCATTCTGCATGGCTGGTTCTTCTCCTCAGCTTCTAACACTACTGCCAGTGCTCAGAAGCAGTGGCTCCAGCCCCTATGAATACAGTGAATTAATATAAACGTTTATATCTTTCTTTTAGACTACAAAATTCTAAAACGGATGGTTTATGTGTACATGTTCAAGACTCATTGCACTAAACAAATGTAGCGATCTAAAGGTCTACAAAGCGTGGTAGCAAAGCAACGGATGTAAGAAACATGCTGCCAACGGCAATGACACTCTTAACACAGCAGATCCCCTAGCAATGAAGGCATAGGAAAAAGAAAATGAAACTCCCTGAAGAGTTTATACTAGAAAACCCGCAGACAACCTTATTTCTGGGTAGTTATGAAAAGAACTGATATTGAGGCCTTGCAGGGATTTCAGTGTTGCCATGTCCACCAAGGCACTATTTACAAAGATATGGAAGGGAGCTAAAAGCCCACCAACAGATGAGTTGATAAAAGAAATGCAGTTATATGTTTGCAATGGTGGCTATTCACATGCAACCTGGTACTTAGGAGGATCACTCGAGCCCAACAACTCAAGAGCAACCTGAGCAGGAAGCCCCCACTGCTGCAAAATGCTTTTCACAAGAATTAAAACTGAAATCTAAATTAACCTAAGTCACTTGGGCCAGTAAGATAGCTTAATGAAGAAGGGTACCAGACACCAGGCCTCGTGACCAGAGTTTGAGACCCAGAAGCCAAATGGTGGCCAACCTGTACAAGTTATCATCTGACCTCACATGAGCTACAACACACTTAGGAAAGAAGGGGGGAACAAAATAAAAGAAATAAGCAAAGAACACTGTAAGAACTCCTAGAAGTGATGGCAGAGGAAAATATTTGACTCCTGCAAGATGTACTGGGACCTCCATGTGTGCTATGGTGCTTATACACAAAGCTGTACACAAAAGCCTCTCGCACAGGTAACTCACATAGCATTTTGTCAAACTGAGGATTTTTTTTTCTTTTTGTCACGAGCAGCTTACTTAATTTATACAACGCAGGGGGCCATTGAGCACTGGCTCCCTAGGGGTGGGTACGGCATTGCTATTACCAGCTATGGAAATGGCATGGCATTACCAGCCTTCATTTCTGCCCCAGAGAGTACAAACCTTGCAAGTCAAAGACCTGGTGCAGGGCTTCTTGGTTTCCAGATCGATGACCCCACAGTGGATGTCAGGGTCGAACTCTCTTTCTGCAAGGAACACACAAAACATTACTGCAAACGGGTACCAACCATTACCTTCATTTTTTAAATAAGAGGAAATCTCAAGATTGACAAGTTAAAGCTATAATAAGATGTGCCCTATTACTAATGAATACACTGCAGATGAGTGTGATCATTGCAATGAACATTATTGTCCCCACTGAAAGCCCACAGCTACTTCCAGACACTGAAAAGATATTTACTGATTTTGCATAAGAATATTTATATTTAGAAAAATCGTAGGAACAAATTTTCATTTTGCACAGACAGGTCCACCCAGACGGAGACTTTCCCCAAGGTTCACGTTGACTAGCTTTAAGAAGGAACATCCCACTTTCCATATCCAGCTTCGCGAGGGAATTGTTATGTTACCTGATAATCTCTTATTTAAAAACTTCCTATTATTAGAAGTGTCTTCAGGTTTCTTTTCCAGAGCGGGTGTTGCAGGAAGCCCTTTGCCATTCAGAATCTGTCCGGGCGAAGGCAAGGTTGGCTTTGGTATTGAGGGGCAGTTAAGGCCAGGCTTGACTGCAGAGCTCGCAGCAGCAGGACAGGCAGGCCCCACTGTGGATTTCAGGAGTGTGCCGTCCATCCTCGGATGCACCTTTTCCACCTTCACAGAGGGCGTCATGCTGTTACAGGGGAAGGGAGAGTGCCATGAGCAAGTGCCCTGCTATTCCAAGGGGAAGGGAGCCCAGCCCAGATCTACCCATGTGCACAGGCTCTGGGAAGGCCCTCCAACATGTTGTCTGAACCACTAAGAAAAGTGAGTAGTGAAGCTCACAGCTCTGTTGACGAAAAGTCCGTTGGATTAAAAAAAAAAAAAAGACCTGTTTTTATCCTTTTAGAAACATTTTCCCATGGACCAACGGGAAACTCAAACCCAAGAGTCAATGCGGTTTCTTGTTTTTGTTTGGTTTAACAAGTGTTTGTTTATTGATTAGTGGGAATACAACTCATCAGAACACAGGGCATGCACTTGGGGGAGAAGGGAACCAGCTGAGCACTGGAGTGATTCAGCAAACCCGCTAGTCAATGCAGTTTCTATAAGAAGCAAAAAAGGAAGCATTCTAGAAGGACCAAGATAACACCACAGAATCCCAGGAGAATACCTCACAAGAACCATCACTTTAATGAAAGGAATTATTAAAACAAACACACATGACTGAGTACACATCACTCAAGCCTGAAGCAGCCCTGCTTCTGGTAACAAGGAAGACTGTGTTGAGTCAGCACATGGTGTGTCACTGTTTAGTTCCCTGTCCCTGAACACAGGCTTCTAAGACACGAGCTTAGGACAGATACACCTGGCAAACGGTTAGTGAACAGGAAGGAATACTCGTGTCACTTCGTTGCTTGGTAAAAGTGATATCAACAAAACCCTAATGATTCACTTGGTCCCCTTCTAAGCTTTCACATGATAATGGCGGTTTGGGGAAGTGGCCTCTGGCCTCTAGTGGCTGTAAAGCTGGCAAGTGATTTAAGCACTGCCCTGCCATTTCTTTGGCTTTTAGACAACTTCAGAAGTGAAAGCCAAGTTTCCCATGCTCATTCTTGGCGAACAGGGGCTGGGGGCGCAGCCACGAGCAGGGACAGTGGTAGAGAATAGCCTGACAGCAACAGAGCTACTCACTGCAAACTATTTTAGCCTCTCCCAGCCGGCGAGGCTCTTGAGTGACAGCAGGTACTCAACTGTTTTCTGAGATAACCAAGGTTATTAGATGCTGGGAATCAAAAGGAAAGTCTACTTGTCACCAGGCTGAGAGATGACTCTGTCAGTGTACACTGCTGCTCCTTCAAGTGGCCTCAGGGAAGCTCCCAGGCCCAGACTTACTCCACAAGCTTGCCAAAGCCACAGCAGGCAGGTTAGAACTACTCCAGTCTTTCCTCCTCACTGCCCTGACTTGAAAGCAACCTGGCAGGAGACCCTGGTTTGTTTTAGGCCACTGGGGGGCGCTTCACCTTTTCTTATTTCTACTGTTTGCAACAGAGGCAGCAGAACTATCAGAGGTCATTCATTAGCCGTCTTCAATAGCTGAGTGTACAAAAGCCACATGCTTGGTAGATACCCAAGCATCTCCAACCCTGTAGTGGCTGATGGCTTCACTTCCACCAGGAAGAAACAGAAGCAGAATATCTTAAAGGCCTTCTAACACAAAGCATCTCAACCAATGCTTCCTTTTCCCATATGAAAATAGGAGCGACAATACATATTCCACAGGGGGTTATGGTCAATATGACATCCCAGACAAATACAGTTATTTTCAACAACTCACACCAAAAAGGATAAAAAAATATTACCAGCCATATTATTATTGTGGTACCTAAGAGCTAACAGTGTACTTGACCCCCCCCCACACACACACTGCAATGAACTCTTCACAGTGACTCCCAGGCACTCTTGGGTGGCATCCACACAGGACTCCCCTAGCCTTACAAGCCCATGTGGCCATACTTACACTCTACCATGGGGGACTTTAGTCTGTTGCATGGGATGCATGGGCCTGATGCTCCCCCTGAGCTGCAGTTTCTCTTTGGGCAATTTGAGTGACTTGGAGCTTGATGAGGCTGTGCAGACGGCCCCTCCACTGGGAGGCCGGCTGCTTCCACCGGCACTGCCGCCTTTGCTTTTGGACAGAGAGGGGAAGAGGGAAAATACTGAAGTGTGAGGAACAGCCAAGGAAGGCTTGCTAGATGAACTATGTCTTCTTTCTGAAACAGAAACCAAAGAAAAGAGAAAAAAAAAAGACACATTTCAGCCAAGCTTCAAATGGAAAACTGAGCCAGTTCCCTGAAATCAACACATTTATATCAAAACTTAAGTCATCAAGTAAAGCATGATAGATCCAGCTGAGTTTTTTGTATTATTTTGTTTTCCAGACAGGGTTCTTTTCTTTTTTCTTTTTTTCCCTTGAGACAGTGTTTCTTTCTCTATGTAACCCTGGCTGTTCTGAATCCCTGAAACACGCTCTGTAGACCAGGCTGGCCTCAAACTCAAAGAGGCCTGCCTCTTCCTCCCTAGTACTGGCAAATCCAGCCTTTGAAGGAAGCTCTCAAGCAGGCCCCACAGCCAATTTAGCCCAGTCCCTCCATTCCCAATGCATGCCAACATAAAGAAGTTTACCACTCTGAAATCGAACCACCAATCTAGACAGGGGCAAAATGCCTGGTGGGTCTCAGACACAGTTCACACCAAGAGAAAACCACTCATCTGAGACCAGTAACTGACAAACACTGGCGTGTCTTTAACCTTTCTAGCACAGCACCTCTCTGATTCTCAGAAAGGGAAACTAAAAAACTCACCCACAAGCCGGCCTATGGCACTAAATCTTGTTTCTATGACCATCTTCTAGCTCCCTAAGAATCTGCTAAAGTTTTCCAGTCAATCTTTTCAAACCCCTCCTACCTTTAAAAAAAAAATCTCACTTGACTACAGATGGCATAACTCTGCTTCACACTACTAAGATGCCAAAGACTAAAGACAAAAATATCACAAAGAGCTAGGCCTGTTTCTTTTTCTTCTTTTGAAACTAGGAAGTAATTTATGAGTAAGTATAGTCTACAAAGGTGTAACTGAGAATAAATCTACCTACTTAAGAATGAGATTTTCTGAGAGTAGATGCAGACCACTATAAATCAAGAGCTACTGAAAATGCTACTACAAGAAAACAGTCATTTGATAATGTTGCTTCAGGACCCAATAGGGTAGCCTTGAACTCAGAATTTAAAATCACAGTGTCTTAATTTAAAGCTTTACAAATCATCAACATCACACTATGGAAGCCATATAGATACTTAAACACTAGTTGTGTTGGAATCGGTGACTACAAGTACCATTTAAATAGCTGATTTCCAAATCTTCTTTTATCAGTGAACCTATGACCTTAGGTTAGCAGTTCTGCAGTCCTTCCTTCTTTCTTTTCATTTGGAAACAGGTTTTTTAACCTTGAACTCAGGGAACTACCTACCTGCCTCTGCTTCCCAAGTGCTGGGATTAAAGGCATGCACCACCACTGCCTGGCTAGTTCTGTAGTCTTTATCATGTACTTCAGAGCTAGGATCACACCAAGACAAATGATGCTACCTATCAACAGACAAACCCAAATTCTCCAAATCATGGCACAGAGGCTACAATGGAGTCAAGAAGCTAAACTGAAAGCCAACGGAAAGTGCGTCCTTACTCTACCCTCACCTCCACTCCTACCCCATGGCACTTACGTTTGTTATTTAACTATTCACAACAGACAAGATATAAAACTAGTATAGATGTCCCTCAACTGATTAATGGACAAGGAAAATGTAGCACATACACACTGCTGCAACCTTGTTCAACTATGAAAATTAAAGTTGTAATGTCTGTAGGAAATGGAGTGCTGTTTCCAGGGGAAGAGCAGGGAATAGTATTTCAGGGAAGAAGGAGAACCAACAAGATGCCATGAGGATGTATGGAGGCAGAGGGGGGCAGCAGCGGAGGGTACACAAACCCATGAAGTGTAACGATGTTAATATGAAACTATCACACTAAAGCAGCTTCTTTGTGTGCTACTTGAAAAGCAACTCTTTATCCTTATCAAAAGCCACATAAAATGTTGTTTTTAGATTTACTTTATGTGTAAGTCTTCTGCCCACACGTGTGTATGTGTGCCCACATGCATGCCCAGTACCAGCTGAAGTCAGAAAAGGGCATCAGATCCCCTGAACTGGAGTTACTAACCTGGGTTCTCTGTAAGAGCAACAAAGTGCTCTTAATCACCAAATCACTGCCTTGCTTCTCTTGGCTTGCTCAGCGAGCTTTCCTAAAGTCCAGGTTTATCTGCCCAGTGTTGGCACTTCTGACAGTGGCCTGGGCTGCCCTGACCCCATCATCAATCAGCAATCAATAAAATACCCCCAGACATTCACACAGGCTAATCGAATGGAGGCCAATTCCTCAGAGGAAGTTTCCTCTTCCCAAGTGTGCCCGTTTGAAAGAGAAGCATAACCTCATCTGGGGCATTTGAATACCTGGTCCCCGGATGGTGGTGCTGTTTGTTTGAGGGAGTTTTAGGGGGGTGTCATTGCTTGAGGCAGTGTGTAGCTGCTGGTAGCTGGGGTGTCTTGGGAGTTTAAGGCCTTACCCTACTTGCAGTTTTTTCTTTGCTTAGTGCTTGCTGCTCAAGATATGAGCTCTCAGCCAGCTGCCCCAGATGCCACTCAACCCCACCCTCATGAACTCTTAGCCATATGGAACCAACCATAAGGGAAAATAAGTTCTCTGTCTGCTTTTGTTTTTCAGGACAGAGCTTCTCTGTGTAGCACTGGCAGTCCTGGAACTCTCTCTATAGACCAGGCTGGCCTCTAACTCAGAGACCCGCCTGCCTCTGCCTCCTGCATGCTGTATTAAAGGTGTGTGCCACCACACCCAGCTCAAAATAAAACTCTTTCTTAGGTTGCCTTTGATCATAGTGTTTTGTCATAGCAACAGAAGAGTAATGCACCAGGTCTATCCACTGACAGTTGAAGCTAACTATAGACCACACAAAGTACTTCTCCACCTGTTGGATGAACATACTGCAGGAGGCACCAGGTCTGTGGTATAGAGGAAAAAACCACTAGAAGTGTGAAATTCTCAAAACAAATGCATATAGTTCAGGTCCCCAACTTAAGTTAGGTCAATTTACTTTTTTTTTTCATTTCACTTTCATAATGGTGTTACAGTGATGCCCACTCAGGAAAACAGTGCTTGAATTTTTAATGTGCTAAACTAAAATGCTCAGATTAGATATATTTAATGTATGCTTGACTTACAATTTCATTTTTCCACTTTTAAAAATAAGGTTGCTAACTAGCATGTGCAATGTACTTTCTCTTTAGATCAATTGATTACCCCACTTAAATAAAATAATTTCTAATATATTGCTTGTTTTGAGAATGTAAATTTCTTCCAAAGCCATTAATATACTATGGAATAATTTGACCATAACATAATTTTGCATATGCTTGTATGTAATACATGAGGTGGTGAGTTTTTGGCCAGAGATATAGAACACAACCTCCCCCAAACAATATACTAACTATTGCCATGGGTCCTGGCTGCCCACCAAAACTCAATGGTAAAACCTGTTGTAGAAGAAACCACATACTTTGGCTACAGGACATGGAAAAATCATTTTGGTACTGAAGAAGAGGCATCGCAGGTCTGGAAGTTGCTATGCAGGCTTCTGGGATAAACAGTCTTACCCAGTTACGAATCCTAGGTACAGCAATGAGCAGCACAGGAAGGTATAGTGGGTAATTATACTTTCCTATTGGGCTTAAGGCAGCTCCAGAGGAGGAAATGCACAGCTGGTCCTAGAGTAAGAACCTACAGTTGGGGAGTTCATAGAGTTGGGAGAGAAGGATCTATTCTATTTTGATAAGTGGACATTGTATCAAAGAGCACTCTACGCTCACAGGCCTCATCAGAGAAACTTCTAGTCATGAGCAGAGGTTGAGGCAGACACTCAGAGCTGAGAGAACTGTAGGGATAAGTGTCTGTAGAATGCTAGCCACAACAGAACATCTATATCCTATTTCTTCTTTTCAAGGGTCATGGGCCAGCCAGGGAGAGGAAGGTGCAAAGACTGTAAGAGACAGAAGTTGGGAGGCACAGACTGAAACTGTATCAGATGGATGTGACAAGACCACTGCACTCACAATCAGCTGTGGTTGCCTGCACAAGATGTGCACAAGATCAAGCCAGCTAGTATTCTAGCACGAGGGGGAGGGGAAACCATAGGAGCTGAGTCACTACTGATAGTTGATGGCTGGTAAGTTCCCCATGAAAGCTACACTGCATAGCTTCATACCAGTATAAGTACAGCACAAATTGGAATCAGTAGGCTATTATAAAGGGAATTGAACACTAAGTTGGGAAGAAATGGGGAAAGTGGATCTGGAAGGCATTACCAGAAGGAACTGGTGTGAATATCATCAAAATAATTACATGCACATATGAAACCCTAGAAAACTCCATCTGGCCACATGTAGCCACAGAGGAACATCACTTCCGCTCACCACACACATACACTGCACCATCCATATCTGGTGTTACATCTTCCTGTCTACCTGTGTCACATCCTCTGCCACTTCTAACAATTCACAAGGGGTAACCAACCCTTTTCTATGCCTATGTCACAGGTAAAGTCAGCCACTTAGCATCATGTTAGACTGTCTCCATGCTCATTATCTACCTTTCCTCATCCTAGAAAGTTTTTGTGAGCTTCACTCTAAGCTCCTGTGGTTTCACTGCATGATTTGCACTTGCAGTGATTTTTATAATGTATGTCAGGTTGCAGCATAACTGACTCTGACGTCTGGCCAGTCCCAGCAGTTTTCTACCTCCAGCCTGCTACCGCCCACCCTTGTTTCTTCAGTTAACATCTCATCCTGCCTGTAATCTAAATAAGCATTAGAGCACTGGTTCTCAACTTTCCTAATGCTGTGACTCTTTGGGGGGGGGGTTTACGAGACACAGCTCCTTACGCTGTGGTGACCCCAATCATAAGGTTATTTTTTGTTGCTACTTCACAACTATAATTTTGCTACTGTTATGAAATGTATGTAAAAATCTGTTTTCCAGTGGTCTTAGGTAACCCCCGTGAAAGGGTTGCTCAACCCACAAAGGGGTCTTGACCTACAGGTTGAGAACTGCATTAGAAAAATCAAGACCCAAGATTTCTAATATTTACTTT